CTCTACTCGAGAGATGTGATGGATAGCAGAGCCAGTTGGTCCACGACACACTGGCTGGATTATAAAAGTGGTCTGTCAAGTAGGACAATGACCACGAGACTGAGGATATTGGGGACGAATTGTCAAGTCACCCTTTCACTTCGTTTGAGAATCCAGGTTAGTTGAGTATGCTCTAGAGGCTACCAAACGCTTGAGGCATATAATAGGAAATGACGTCTCGAATATCTCAAATATCAGGGTTGTGATCGAGTCAATTCATTGAACCGTGGAGATAAGAGTCTGATCTTCCAGGTCATCATCCTCTACTTGAAGCAAGTAGCTTTCACACTGAAAGGGTTCAGTTGGATCAATGCTTTCAGCACATTTAGAGAGGAAGATGCGGGCACAAGTTATAAGTTGTCATACGAGAATTTATCTGGATTAAAGGAGAGATACTAAACCTGTTTCGCAGCAAATGTATAATGGGATGGACCCTGCTTATCTCTTAGACGAGTTGTAGATGGGCGTTAACAATGAAAATGCTCTCTGAGGATGACAGCGAAATGTATGAAAATGTACCAAGTCCATAGAACGATGCTGCAAAGTATTATGACTACTAGTGAAATTCAAAAGAAACATCAGTTTACTCATAATTGTGGGAAAATTTTACTACCAGTCCTTCATCACCTTAAACGAAATAGGGTGAACTCACCAAGGTCCCCCTGATAACACTGCTAAATTATGAAAGAGAAAGGAGGCCGAAAACACAATTGAGGTCTCACAATGGCCTTAATATTTAAAATATTTTGCCAATCTACATGTAACATTATTGAGAGTTTACATAATTTGATCTATCTGGTATCGTTTCTATTGTAGCATCATTCTTTATGTTCACATGCAACATTAATTAAACTTTTTACTATTATTCGAGTATTCACCAGTTTGGGCTCATTCACATCTTGTTCCTGTCTAATTTCGTAGCCGGGACCCTCTACTTCACGTATTCTCTACGAACATCATGCAGATGATTCTGCAAATGCTGAGATGGAGATGGAGGATCGGGCTGCACGTAACCGGCGTCTGGCTTTAGAGCGCCTTGAGACCAAGCGTCGCAGTTCTGCACAAATCAGTACGTTACTTTCCGTAAATCCTTACGGCCTCAGTTATTCTATTATCCCAAATATGCTTAGTACTCTTGTCTTCCCGTACGCATGCATTCATATCTAGTCCTTTTCTGTCACCTTATGCATTTCTGATCCTGCTCTATTGGCATTATAAAGCGATTTGGTGACTAAATTTTCCTTGTCTACTATTTCAGTATTGCTTCTGATTAAAGATATTCCTTATTGATGTCTTTTAAATAGTTGAAAAGGGTTTGTTTAATGCTAGATTTAAAGAGCGAAGAAATCTTGAAAGAATTCAAGCCACTTATGGCACACGGTGATGCTGAAACTAGAGCTATTTGAATGAGCCTAGCTTTAGGAAACATGGTATATACAAATCGTTTCTATTCGCTTTCGCAACTTGCTCGTATTGTCATGGAGTCTAGATGGAAGCACCTTGTCCGGAGTCCATAGTATGCATGATACATTCCAGTATCGGATAGTGTACTTGGTGCAATTCATGACGTTTCGCCGGTATCGTCTGTAAGTTTTGCCATTCTTAGCGCCAAACAACGATTCATAAGGGATTAGTTGTAGTGTGGTGCCATCCACGGTCGGACACCGGAATTAATCATAGATACTCTAGACTCATCTAGGTCGCTCTGACAATACTATTAAGTTGCGAAATTGAGATCAAATGATTTACCTACAACGAGAGGAGACTGAGATCATATTAAATGCCACATCTTCATACCTTCAATGAAGGTATATTTAAATTTATGATCTCTTTTTTTATATTTTTAGGCTACGAGCTGAAAATCTGGCTTGCTCCAAACACTTCACATTTTGACTAATCTTCTTGCCCAAATTTTCTTTGTGTTTAGGTATAATCATGTTAAACCTCAAGTTTAAGCGAAGGTATAAAGACAAAGATGGTGTCGCTCTTTGTACATCGTAGTCGACATCTTCAGTGAGTCTTGCCATTCTTAGCACCATACTACAACTCGTCAAAGAGTCAAGTGAAGACGATCCTTTGACCAAATGTGTGCTAAACAGTTGTGTTATCTCTCTTTCTATCCCGGGCTATTCATATGCCCTATATCCTCGTATCACGCCTTCACAATTACTATTATCTCCTTGCTTATTTAAATCTTGTGTTATGTGCCCTTTTGAGTGGCTTTCATGAGAAGCCTTTACACTCCAGGCTGGCGTTCTCACTCCTTGCTAAGAATGTCAAGACTCACTGACGATCCCTACTACGATGTCGGCAAAACGTCTGGGAATGTACCACGTCCACGGTGCGACTTAGGGAATTATCATGCATACAATGGACTTTGGACTAGATGCGTTCCTTTAAGTCTTCTTACCAATATGACCAAGTTGCGAAAATAATGTCAAACAACTTCTATATCTTATTGTTTGTTTGTTTGTTTGTTTTTGTTGAAAACTCACCTGCTTTCTAATCGAAGGTAGACTCTACCTTCTACCTTACCTTGAATTCATCGATCAACAACTTGCATTGTTTTCCAACTAACATTACATATAACTCTCCATATTATTATTTTATTAATTTTCTTTAATTACAGCAAACCTAGGATCTCCGCTTCTTAAGAATGCACTCAAAGCTGCTCTGGCTAGTCCACTATCTCCATCTCAGAAGTGCTGAAACTATCAAAATACCTGGCAAGAGGTGTCCAGCTGCCTTCTACACTGAATATTGATTCATTTACTTCATTGAAAACCTTTTTTATTCACTTTTGCATAAAGTTTACTGTGAATACCCTCAATAAATATCACTTCCTTAGTGATCTGTTAGTAAATCGTGCATTTAACTTACGCTTCCACTGTATTATTTGTAAAATATCAGGATTTTTGTTATTTTTTAGCCAAAAATCTTTCCATTTGCTCTTGTTGTCTTGGCCCATATCAACATTTTCTATATTTAAATATTTTTTTGCCTGCAAAGAAATCATCTTTATCCTCATCTAGCTGATATTTCAGTTTTATAAGCAATTTTTTTCGGGCTTATTTTTAGCTGCAGTTGACAGATTTGCTTCACAGACTTACATAATTTTTACCGTTATGACCGTGGCAATAGCAGTTATCTTAGCCAAGTTGGCTATTTTTCTTGTGGTCTGAAGTCGTCATTTTCATCAGCCCCTAGTAGCTTTAATTCCATCTGAGTTGACCTGGAGGGATATTTGTGCGAAAAACAAGGACGGGTCCTTGTTTACCGGGGTTAGGAGTTGAATTGAGTGAGTAATGAACCGACCAAATTTGACGATTAGTACCTCGGTACTTCCTGAGGCCATACTAAAAGAATAAATATCCGACAAATGCGATGTGGACTACGTGCGTGTTCGCGCTGAAAGTGGATGATCAGGAGGGTAAAAAGACGGGGGTAACATCGCTATTGACAGTCTTTCAAAGTTAGGAAAAGCAAGTAAATGGGAAATCTCATCCTACGATCCCAGTGACTCCATGCCGAGCTTTCCTCCGTCATTTGATGGACATAGTCGGGCCAAAAAAACGTTATTGACGAACAATCACCGAAAAAACTAAATCAAGAAGTGTTTTTGTGTCCAGCGTCCGTGATTAATGGTTTCTGGTTCTTACGATTACGCCATCTAAAGGATGTAAGCTTAGCACGGAATCATCGGGGTCGTAGTACGGTGAGCCAAGGTCTTCTTCGCACAAAAGTCCAAGGCCACTCTCCTTCAGTATCTGGTGCGGCCACTCCACGAATTCTTCCCACCTCTCTTTTCGAACGAACTGAAAGGTATTTCAGAATCAATCTACTAGGGAATTCTTTGAATCTCAGCTTCTCTTCATAATATTACGCTGCTATATTGGCAGGCTTCAGACAGCAGATTAGATTAGCGCCTGGGATTTCCACATGCAGAGAATTGAAGCAAATCCCATACGTAGGACTCATCGTGGTGCGTAATGGCGGCATGCAAACATAGCACACTATCAAAGATAAAGATATTGTTAAGTCGATCTCATTTGAAGACGACGGCTGGTTCCCTTTTAATTGCGGCCATTTGGCTTTAACGAGACGTTCAGACATCTCCCTTCGCTTCGTGAGAAAGCGAGCAAAGCTTTCTTCCATTTTTTAGGGATGATCAAATTCATTATCACAATGGTCTCTATCGGCTAGTCTTATGGTACGGATAATCATGGATTTAAATACTCCAAGCATTATATCATAATTTTGGTTCGAGTAGAACTTCAGAATAAAAACTGCATGCGTTGGCTTTGCATATACATCCTTTTTTCACAACTCATCTCTTATCACTAAAGCGTCAAAAAAGGTAGATTATTGTCCTTTTATATGTCCATTGTCAACTTAACATTGCAATCATTCCGATAAAGAAGAAGAGATTATTTAAATTATCCTTACCATACTGCTATATGACAAAATAGTTATGCGTATATCTAAATAACAGTTTTAGAGTCAATCTTACCTCTCCCATA